ACGAAACTGTCATATTCTACTATGCAAGGTTCGACTCTAAACTCAATGATCATCCGAACCAACTCGTTTACAACATCGATACTAGATCTCTACCGGATAAGTCAAAGAAATGTTTAGCTGTAGGACTTTTCCGTCAAGCAATGTGACTGTCGAGTTCTTATTTATCTTGTTAAAAACAAGTACTTATTTTATTTTGCTACAGATTGAAAAAATTCTAAGAAAAGTTTAATTAAAAGATAAAGGCAAACAATTTTTTTTACTTAAGTATTTTTCATCGATAAAGACATAAACAACACAAGTACTGTGTCAGATAGGAGTCGTTTGGTTTGAATTTGTCTATGTGCAACAATATTGAGTGTTATTATGACTCACACCGATACGAATTTAAGGTAAATAGATGAAAAAAAAATATTACTAACCGCCGTGCGTTGCTTACACGCTTTACCTTTTTTTTTATAATATACTAGCGAATTTCATACAACGACAATTCAGAGTATTAAATAGAACCTAATACATTACCAATTGGAAACCCGAATTTGGGTACAGAAATCTGTAGGCGTTAGAAAATAAAAGCCAGTACAGTTAGGTTGGGGCATAGTGGGGACGAGGAGGTCAAGGGTTTTCAGAAATGATTGTAATGTAACTGTAGCTATAATATTATAACCGATAATACGTTTTGGGTCATAACATTAACGCCATTGTGTCTCGATTAGGTCAATTTGTGATAATATAGATGTGTCCTCAAATAGTATAGACAATATTAACAAACCTCTAAAAAAATACTAACCAACATAACAAAATATATACAATCTTACTACAGTAAGATATTGAAGTGCAGAATGACAAGGTTCGACAGAATAAGGAATTATTATTACCCAGGAAAAGTATAGCGCTAATTACTAATGTATGACAATAGATAGCTGGCATTGTACTACACATTTAAAATATGTATTGAAACCTACGGAATCATAGTTTTGATAATTGGTGGCAAAAAGTTAATATATTTATGCATTGTTGTTGCTATACACAGTTTCTGAAAAATTTTGCAAAAACACTTACATACCTTTTCGTTAAAGACATCGATACGTTTGTATGGTTTTCAGCAGAAAATATACTTGTGTACTTATTCATATATTTGTGCAAATATGCAATTTAAATAATAAGGCCACAACTAAAATACTCAAAGATATCATATTTCATGTACTTGTGTACTCGAATAATATTATTCTTTCCTTTTCAATTCGATATAAAACAGGCATTCATAAATGGTAAAATTCATTCGTTTAGTCTCGCAATTTAACTTCAGATAATACTTTAAGGACTAACACTATTTATTTAAAGTTCTCTCTTTCGTTTCTACTTTTTATCCTAGCGGTTAGCTGTATGCATACAGGCCAACCTGAAGCATCAGGTTCAGCTGTATCTAAAGAGAAAACTGTATTGACACCGGAGGAATTAAGGGTAATTTATAATATTTTTTTAAAACTATTCGGTTTTTTCAATATTTTTCTGAATCGTTTATAATATAATGATAAAATTTGCCTAAATAGACACTCTCTAGGAAACTACTATTATTTTAGCTTAAAGACTTCCAAATAAAATTCGTCATAAATACTTGAAATCAAAATTATTTTCTAACATTGTCTTTTAAAAAATGCTTTTAATATATTAGATTAAAACTAGAGTCGTAACTTAATCATTTGAGTAAAATTCATTAAATATAATAAATGTTAAACCATAAAAATGTATACATTTTACTACTTGTAAATTACTAAGTATTAAGTTCTATCACTCTTTAATTTAATAATTTAATTATTAGTATCCGTAATTCCAAACATTTATAATAAATTTTCTTATTTGACTTACTAAAGAGCACCGAGCACCTATAATTTATTTTTTGCATGATAATTGTATACACATTATAAATGTAATATAAATATATAAAAAAAATGTTTTCACCTCCGTATTTTTTGTTTTTTTTTTGTCATTGTAAAAATAAATTAGTCTGCAGTGAAGACAAAGTCAATTTTCTAAGAGAAACTTAAATATTCACTTTAAAAATTAAGAAAACATTTTTTTTGCATGTTTAAAAGTTTTTAATTTTATTTTTGACAATTTTAAAACAAAACGATAAAACCCAATTTTTGCACGTAAATTAGACAGAAATTAATACCCTCTAAAAATAAGATTTTATTTATGAGTTATGATAAAAAAAGCTTAATCATACTTCTTTTTTGACTTTCATAAATCTTTTTTTTTTATATTCCTTTTTTGACTCCGACGAAATAATTTTTTTACTTAATATCAAGAGCTACTTTTTTGAGCTATTATGAAACGATTTATAAAATTAAAATTTTTCTGGATATCTTAGAGTACTATTTAAAAAGATATTTCAATATTTTTTTATAACGACAATAATTTTATTTTTGAGGAAATTTTTTTAAAACTAATATGACATTATCTCTAAAAAGCTATCTTCTTTCCCTAAAAACTCTTTAAATCCATTATGGGTTGATTAAGAAGCATTATGCGTAGTCAAGTTTAGACGCTTGAAAATTAAGAGTATAATGTCACTTTATAAAGTCTAACTTTAATAACAACATTTCGTTAAATACTTTTTCTAGATTCTATTTTTAATAGTTTAGCCTAACTTTTTTATACAATGCATCTTAAATTTTGAAATAACTGTAGTTTTGGCCACATAAAGTACCTTTCAAGTTAGATTTCTACCTTCCTATACAAAAAAAACAGTTAGCGGCCTAGGAAATATTGTGGATGGAGTAAAAAATTACAAGGTAATCCAACTGGTGGAAGATATACATATTTAAAAAAAATTGTATACCTACTCTTGTAGGTATATATTTTTCTACATTTTTCAATACTTATAATATTTTTTTCTTCAACCCCTATACGTAAGGGGATACTTGCCTTTAGTTTTTTTAAATTGGAATGTATGTTTTTAATTTCAAAAATCCATAAAAAAACAAATTTTTTTAAATATATTTAGCGTTTTAATTTGTAATTTTCAATTATCTGATCGTTTGCTATGACTTTGTAAAGGTTTGGATTTAAAATCAATATTAGTAGCACTTCTATTTGCCATTAAATAATAATATTGATCCCTATCGATATTACTGTTACTGATAATCAGACATATATAACATTCGCTCAAATTTTCTTTTATATTATATGAACAATCGATTTTTTTGGCGTACGTATACAATATTTGTTTATCTCAATTCTCACACAAAATGCATAACATGAACTTAGATAGATACTAGTGTATCACACAAATTCAATTATGGTTATAGTATGCATTGATTATTATTAGCTGTATATATAACGATTTATTTCTTGGTCCTTAGTCATAGATATTTTTTTTTAAAGTTTTTCAATGAGATATTCCGTCATTTTGTTCATTGCTGTGAACAAAAAATTTAGGCAGAACTGAGTTCTTATGATTCACCTCCTTCACGTGACTCAAGGGGGTTGAAAAAGGCCAAATAAATAATTTTATAACTTTTTTGAGTTTAAGTATAAAACTGTTGCATTTTGCGTAAAATTTCTCATTATCTTTATGATAGGTCAAATGTTAAATAAGATTTAATTTTTGAACACAATTCCGAACTTATCTCGTTGGAAAACGCGCCTTTTTGTCAAAATACTATTTACTCATCATGGACTGAACGACTGCTATCACGAAAACTCAGTTTAAAATCACAATACAAATTTTATATAAATGAAGATGATTCATTTTATACTGTTCACAGAACGATTTCTATATTTTGTTTCTAGCAATGAGTTTCGTTTTTCATACATGTTATCATATTAAAACTGCCTTGAAAATCCTTAACATTCTCATCTCTGACCCGGAGGAAATTGTGACTGTCATAAAATGTTTTTTATTTATTATTATTCGCAGATAAAAATGAAACTCTTCTGTTCATTAATACCTATTTTCTTCGTGGGTGTTTTGGCAAATGGTAATTACTTTATTTTCACAGTTATCAGTTAAAGGTAGATTAAATTTGAAAATATTTTAATATTTTAATTTTTACAGAGAGAAAATGTATGCAATATATTTTCGCTATAAGTCAGTTACATTTTTATTTTACAAACAAATCTTTTTTGAAGTTTTCAAAATCCACTGTTTTTATACATCATTTTTTGATTATGTATCACAGCTGAAGCCATGGCAATTGCAAATGATTTAACTGTAGAAGGTACAAATGGTACAGAAACAAGTAAGATATATTTAAAATAATATACTAATATATATGTAGAAGTTGTGTTACAAGTACCTGAATGTTAAGTTATTAAAAAATTTAAAATTATAGTTTTATCAATAGTTAAGAAAAGTGCATTAGATATTGAGAACAGTGTATAGAGCAATAAAATATAATATATAAATTAGCGATTTCTAATAATCTAATCGAGGGAGAAATTAAATGGCTACTGCTCAAAGCCGGGTTTAATATTATTCTAAACATTTTTATGGTACCTTATATGACTTAATTTTAATATTTTAGTATAGCTATAATCTTCATTTGTTTATTCTAGATGCATTGGAGCATGTAATTGAGACAATGGTTGATAATGTAGAAGAATTCGAATACAGGCATTTTGGTAATCATAATTATAATAATAATAAAAAATATCAAGATAAGAGTAGAAAAAAATATTTGAAAATAGTAAAAATGCATCTCAAGTTTATCGTTATGCAATTGATGTGTTATAATTCTTATATTTTTCACTAAGCTTATTGAAAAAAATACAATAAAAAAATATGATAGCTCTTTCAACCTCGTCTGATTAAAATGTTTTATTCTCATTGTCTATACTAAATCAACTCAGTTATTGCATTTCACAAGGATTCTCTAGTATAAATTATAGTTTTTTCTATTTTGATCATCGTCTTCTAATGTATAATTATATAATGTAATTACTTATTATAACAAATGCAAATCAATATCATTAATAAATTTGTGTAATTTCAGGAAAACTTAATTTTTTGATAGCTGTACCGGGTAATAGTCATTGTTGAATCTTATGAAAACATTTCTAATATTTCGTTCCTATTGAATTCTCCAAAGAAATTCTCATCGTATTAAATATTTAATATTCTTAAATATATTCCATATATTTCCGCATATTTCTTCTGAGTTTTTAGTACACATGTTTTTCCTAACTTGACATTCGTCTTTCTGTTTATAATTGCATAAAAAAGTATATGCAATATCATTATTAATGTGTTATTCATTTCAGACCATCCGGAAATTATGCGCACAATACCACGTAATAATTTTCATTGTTTTTTATAGAAGCGCTTCCACACAGTTGTTTGATATTATTTATACACATATAATTTTTATTTTACTTTCAGAACTTCCATTACTTCCAATATTGCAAAGTAAAAACCCCATTTTATATTTCATATTTATCATACTTATTGCATATTTATTATTTATAAATACTTCATATGATTGATAAATAATCATATGTACCTATTGACCAATACCAATATGACATATCGGATTCAATCATAAATAATATGTAGGTACATTAAAATGTATTTTGTTTTTAATTTTAGAAGCCAATTTTTTCTTCCAAATTATGCGACAAGACATAGAAAGGCTATTAGGTAAATCTAAAATTAAAAAATAAATAGTTACATATTTTTGTAGTTTTTAAGAAAAAGTCGATTTATATCTTAATGTCTTAAGTTCAAGATTCTAAGAATCATTCGAAATATAATTTAATCTGTTTAATTAAATATCGCTATAAGACATGAATGAACATTTATTCAATAATAATTTACAATAGTCTAACTAACCTCAGGTTTTATTAACTGCATAATAATTTAATGTTTGATGTATTTGTTACAGAATTAGAACGAACTAAAATAATTTATGGAGGTAACTACGATTTATTTATAGTCTTAAATGGTTTTAAAATCGTGTTTTAGAGTTGATATTTTTTTTCATTTTCTTTAAAATGAAATGTAAAAGTTTTTATAGTTTTATTATTTCTTTGCAACACTATCATTTAATAATTATTTTCGTAGAATCTATATCATTGAAACAACTTGGAGACGATAGAAGACAACATGTTGTTCCAGCTTTAAGGAACTTAATCAGACGTCGTGTATTAGGTAAATATTATTACGAAGTTGTATGGTTTTTGAACGTTATTAATATATATACAAGGATACAACTGTTTTAATTATAAGCAATTATCCAATTTAATTATATCTACTTACACGTACTTTCAAGTAATACAAATATCATGGCTGTACAGTACGGACACCATTTTTATTGTATTATTTTTTTTTTATGACTTCGTATTGACAAATTAAATAGTTGTGTCCTGCACTGTAAAGCAATGTAATAACTAGTAAGCTAACATAAGCAAATTAAAATAAAAAGTTTTCAAATTTTTAAGAATCTGGGCAGCATGATGAAGCCTCTTTATTACCGAAGTGTCGTTTGCTAGGATTATACTTGAGTACACAATTTCCCGAGTCATTCATAAAACAAGTTGACATTGACTCAATTGACCTAAAATGTATCTTAACGGATACAAATGATACCAAAAGATATTACAGAAAAATTGGTAACGCATGGTCCGAAGTAAGATTATCTAACATAAACGAATCACTACAATTCCTCGAGGAACAGTTACGACTTGGACGTCCACAAGTTCCATTTTCATTCCATGATGTATTATAATTTATCTTATTATTATCCCTATATTTATTATGAAATCTTAAGTTGTAAAATGGTATACACAAACTTAAGCTGACGGAAAAAGAACCGTTGGTGGATTTTTCCAATAACATATTCCACATAATAAACGTTTTTGTAAGTACATAATATTATACGTTTTTTTCTGTTTTATGTCATGTCTACCAATAAAATAAATATTACTGAATTTGTAAAGTTATATTTTTTTATCTGATGTATTGCATCTTCTTATTTCTGCTTCCAAATACTTTCCTTATATTTCTACCTTTACTAAATTAATGTGCAAATTTTGGGTGACAGGTTCATTTATATATAATTCATATTAATGGTGATTATGTTAAAGGTAACATAACCTAAATAGAATTATAATGTCGAGTGACTAAATAAAACAGTGTAGAATATTATATAAATATAATATTCTATAGTCATACAATATAAATATTTTATAAGTTTTTAGACTTCTTGCAATATAAATTACCATAAAAGTTGAAAAAAAAGTTTTAAAAAAATGCAAAAAGTGTTGGGAGGGGAGCCCGGATTTGAGAACCCGGTACCCCTCACTCCTGGCAACCAATCACGCCAACCGCACCACATAGTTTTCATAACAAATCCTGTACAAATCCTGCATATGAAAGGGACTTCGTTCCAAACGCGTGTGCCGCGACACGGATCAGTTTTTAGTAAATTATTATTCATTTTTGAACTTGGCGTCACTTTAGAAACAAATTATACAAAAACCTCACTGTATAACACTTAAAATCATTTATACATGTGGGTGTACAATATGGTTTTGTCATTAATGAATTGAATCACCCTGTATATAAATATACAACTCTTAGGATTCTGATGACCAGTAGACTCCAAAAAAATTTCCACCAATTTTTAATGTCAATGTGCAACGCAAATCAATGGTCATTTTTTAAATTGTCAAAAGTATTTTTTTTTCATAGAATTGACCACAAAAACCTATAATGTTTTCATCATAGCTTAAAGAAGAGTTAAGCACAGTTAGGAATTTCTTTTGGTATTTTTTAATTTTCAAAAAAATAATTTTCTTTGCAATTGATATTTACAATGGTTACATGTAGTGAAGTAAACAAAAAAATATAAACAAACTTTGTTTTGTAAAATTTTATTTTCCTTTTGATTTAGAAGTAAAACGGTAATAACAGCTCCCGATTCGGTGTAGTACTTTGAAGAGAGGAACTGTTTTTTTTTCAAAACCTAAAAGAAACATGAAAAAGTTCTTGTTGTACACATCCAATCTGCGAACTAGTACGCAAACATATTTTGTTTTAAGTTTTCCCACCTAAAATTGGTAAGCTGTACTTTTTTCATGTTTGTCTATTTTTTTAAATTTTTGACACAAATAAAAAGTAGTTCAATGCGGGTAGTTTGAAATTTATATTTGTAAAAACATATTTTGTTATTTGTAACTAAAATATTATTTTTTGTTATTTAAAATGTTCACTTACGAACATTCATTCAGAAAATAATTTAGGAAAAATATAAAAATTGTAACAACTAACCGTACTTTTTTATACCTTACTCATATACTAAATTCAAATGAGCTGCTTAATTTTATCACGATTTGGAAGCGAGTAGATTTTATTGAGTTCTGAGCCGATAGGAGTAGGCAACGTTCATTTAGATAACTAACCCCCTTTAAGTACATGGTGGTCAAATACAGTCCCTATTGAAAAAATGCTAAAACTTGTCCCTTTTTAGATTACTACTGAAATTATAGTAATTTCTCTCTTTTCGTATAAATAAAAGTAATTTACCTTTGCTGTTCGAAACAGTATTTGAATTCCAACTTGGCGCGCGCGGGCTCTGTCCGTTTGACAACTTCTAGATAACAGCTACTATCGGAAGAGTCCAGATCTTAATCATGTCGTACTTACTATTATAATCATTATAATTTTTCTTTAGACCCTTTTAGTTGTTGTTTAACGCACAATATATTATTCACCATTAATTTTAATCAATACAATATTGTTGTTATGTATTTTTAGTTTAATGAAAATTGTATAAACTCTAATCTTTGCTTATACAGGGTGATCCAACTAACGTAAGACAGTCATTTTCTCGGAAAACATGAATATTTTGAGAATTTTTTTTTTTCTAAACTTTTAGGTACATATTTTACTACATTTTTCAATATTTAGAATTTTTTTATCTTCAACTCTTATACGTTATAGAACTACGAAACTCGTTTTTTCAAATGGAAACATATGTTTTTAATTCCATAAGTATGTAGACAATTTTTTTTTTAGATGAAGAAAATATTGCTTTCTACTTGCAATCTTCGAAGAAATAAAATATTAGCATTTAACATAGCTATACTCAACCTGCGGCCCACGGGCCGCATGCAGCCCGCCAATTGTTTTTATATGACCCAAAAAGAACTCATATTATAAATATATAAAGGCTAAAAAAAATACATATATAAATATAAAATATAACAAAACAATTATATTTTCAAGATGTGTAACGTACGCGATTGCAATAAGGATGTTAAATTTTAATATCATAATTTTTTGTTTCGAATAATAACTTGTATAATCATTTTTATTAGTAACATTTAATGTTAAAAATATTAGTTTATTTACTCAAGTCACTCCATAATTATAGTTGACTATAACTTTACATGCCCGAACGGCGACGAACAATGGTTATTTACTATATCTGATTTATTATATACGGAATGCGCTAACATCAAATAATTATTATATTTTATGTGATGACCGACGTAATAAGACTACTTGTCTTTGTTGAATCGAATGAAATTATTAAGAAATATAGACAAAAATTCAAATCTTTACAAAGTCATGAACAGCGAACAAATGGATGAAAATTAAAAATTCAAACGCTAACATTTTTTTAGATTTTGTGTCTATATAGTTATGGAATTTAAAACATATTTTTCCATTTGAAAAAACGAGGTTCGTACTTCTTTAACGTTAAAGATAAAAATTTTCTAAATATTGAAAAATATAGTTAAATATGTACTTTAAATTTTGGGAAAAAGAAATTCGCAAAATATTTATACTTTCAGAGAAAACGAGTGTCGTACGTTAGTTGGATCACCCTGTATATATGTTACTTTTTAAAAGCTTAAGGTCAAACGTTTTAAACGCTTAAGTGACAGAGCTGTTATATAAAATTCACCTTGCATATGTATTTAATACACAACTATATTTATATGAATGCGTTAAAACTTTAGTGGATTGATATATCCGAAACATACTCAAGTGAACTATATTTATTTTAGAGAAATAAGTTTCTTACCCATACTGATACAATGAAATACGCAGCACAGAGAATAACAGCAGTCTTAAAATGCATAATAACATTTAAGTTGATTGAAATTCAATGAAGTACGTGTAGAACAGAACGACTGTTGGCGCTGAAGTCAAAATAACGGTTAAACGGTAAAATAAGTATATTTGTCGTATCTTTTATGGTTTTATTGACTTACGATAAACATTGTGAGTGGCAGAATTTTGTAAACCTGTGTAACGATTTTTTCCAGAGGACGTAAAAACAAAAAAAAATTGTGAAAAATTGAGATCAGATAGAATAAAAACAATATGAAAAAAAAAAATTTAATTTCTTTTTTATCCTATTGAGTATACAGAAAAACTAAAAATTACAATTATTAAAGAAAAAAAATGTATGATCCTTAATGAATCATAATTTCCTGAATGATTTACTTAAGTTGAAAATTAAATATACTTAATATATTTTTTATTTTCTTATGTATACCTCCTCCTTACTACACAGACAATTTTTCATATTTGGTCCTACTTAAAATTTAGGATAATATAGGGACACGATAAATGTCTAGCAGGAAGAACTAAATAAATAATTGGCCCAACTAAATGATTACATGAACAAAAGTGAATTCGTTTTTTCAACTACAAATTTATTGTGACCTTTTTATTAAAGACTTTTAGTTGGACTTACTTTGTATTTTAGGAGGAGTTACTTATTTACTTAAATTTATAGCTCTTACAAAGTACATTTTGTGCCTTATATATTTTGTTATTTGGAAGGGTTTCTTTTTAAGAAACTTATTCATCAATGATTCTCTGACTTCAGGCTATGTATAATAACATATTTAACATTTTGACCTTTTAGCTTCTAATAATATGGGAAATATTTCAAGATAAATTCACGATAATCTGATTCTATTTTTCAGACTTGAATCCCTAAAACTGCTAACCCTTCTTTGCATTCTAGAGGATCGAGTTAATGATATTTTTTTTTTGGTTTATCAATGTTTATTGGTAGCATTATGTTTAAAGAATATTCCACAGAATTTTGATAGTAAAAAGACTATTTTTAAAAAAGTATAAAGCATTGTAATTTTATATTGAAAAATATGTACATTTTTTTGGTGTGTTTCTCGGTTTTTGAAGGGTAGGGGATGTTTTAAAAAATTGTTTTCTGTTTAAACGATTTTTAGGAGGGGATATGAAACTTGGCTTTTTTTCACTTTTTTGTGGTGGGAAAGTGAAATTGCAAGAATTGCATTTACCACCCGAAGCCTTATCAACGTTGGTATCAGGTGACACAAGCCAGTCGAAACATTTCTTGGCCAACATACACAAGTACAATTCATGTTTCCAAATGACATCGTTCGGTGCAACAGAAATCATACGCGAAAATTACATGCCAACTTTCAAAGTGCAAGGGTAAATTTACCATCGTGCTGGATCACAGAAACTGGCCAAAAAATACAAATAAAAGTGTAGTGTTGCTCATGCTAGTAGGAGTGAAGTGTGGTTATGAACTAAAGTAATAGCAGACTTGGCCACAATGTCGATATACTACTATGATAAGCTGAAATTTTTGGGAGAGGATTTGAAACTTGGCCTTTTTTCACTGTTAGGTTTTTGTTTGGGATTATTATAATCGGATAAAGAATTTTCGAAAAGCGCGCTGTATTTACTTATCTGAAAGATACTCTCATGAATAATATTATATAAAGATGTCAACCATTTAGTTTATTGATTTGAATTCCAGTAGCGCAACCAGAAAAAACCCTGGGAGGGGGGGTCCAAAATTATAATACAAAAAATTTAATCATAAATAATCATGTTAATAATAAATTAAATTTTTTTTTGTGTTTGTATAAATAATAAAATGTAAAATATATTAATTTTTTAAATAAAGTCCAAAAGACGCTTTGAAGTCGCTAAACGATTTATTATTTCTTTAGATTGTACAATTATATCGTAGTGGATATTGAGAGCCGCTAGTCCATTTAATCTTGTGTCTGCTGTAGAGTTTCTTAAATAAGTTTTGATGTGTTTGAGTGTGGAAAATGACCTTTCAGCTTCGCAAGATGTTACAGGGAAGGTGACGAGTATTTGTAAAAGCTTTAAAATGTTTGGGAAAAAATCTGGGTTGCATATATTTAAAACGTCGATTGCATTTTTTAATTGAATGTTACTATCATTTAGATTACGATTCCACAATAAAGCTTCCGATTTTACAAGATCAAAACTATCAACGTCATCGCCGTAAAATTCAACAAGATCTTTAAGACTTTCTTCATTGAATGTTGAACACTTTATTAACATTTGGAATCCACTTATAATGTTTTTATGTTTCATAAAACGATCGTTGATTTGTTGAACGAACAAATCAAGAAATGGAATAAATTAAATTATTTTAAAATATTCTTTGCTGAAATATCTTTTGCTGGGATATTCATGCGGTGTTTTTGACACTTTGCTAATCTAGGAATTTTAATTGTAATTTCAAAATCATTTAATCTTATATTAAGATCATTGTATTGATTGTTAAATTGAAGAGTAACATTTTCTCTTATAGACATTAATTGGTTTTTTAAAAAACTTATGTGTTCCATAGCTTCCGATAGATCAATATTTTTGGTCTGAAAAAAATTACAAAGCGAATGAGTATATAAAAAAATATAATTCAGAATAGTTAGGGCTACGTTGAGTTCTGATGCTTGTATAGCTAATAGAAGATGATTTGCTTTACTTGATGTATCGCTATCGTTTCACAAAATTATTTCTTCTAAACAATTTAAAATTGCAGGGAAAAATTCATAAAATGTTTCAATTGAGTTGTAACGTTCAATCCACCTAGTAGGACATAGTCTTTTCAATTTTTCTTTTGAAGATGAAGATTTTTTTTTTTTTAATTCATCTAAATGTGTTGAAAAAAACTGTTGTCTCTTCGAAGTGTTAAACAAATTATAACATGCTTCTATTGTATTCATAGAATTCAATAAAATACAGCCTTACGGTTTTGTTTGTACATTAAAACGACCGAGAAACTGTTAAATTAACTAAGTTATAAAGAGGTAATGTTCCAATACTATTTTCTACATAGTACTAGGAAAACCAAGCCGCTAAATACATAACCAACATGATTATACTATCCAACGCAATGAAGTGAATAGCATAACACTTAACTAATCTATCACTTGTAAGAAATGAATCTTTTGGAATATTATTTTTGATAAGTGTGTATTTTTTTTTATACCGAGACAGGTTCTAACTTTTTAACTTTACACAGTTATGTGATCCGGTCTATCCGGTGATTACCAATCCGGGTTTTAATAAATAAACTCGGAATTATACAGATATCATTTAGTACTAGTTTTCACTTATAGAATGCGCCACATATTCCATAATGACAGTTAAATTTGTGTTATCGTGACATCAGCTAAATTACTTTGTGACCAGTTTTTAAGTATAATATACAAACGATATCTATACAGGAAATACTGGGGAAAATATCATCACAATGAAAAACATGTCTACTTTTAGATTATTAATTTATCGAAAGATTTTTTTCATTTGTTTACTTATTGTACACACGTTTTATCTAAAAATGCACAAATGTACATTATAATAAAAAATTATGGCAATTTTGTGAACTGCTTTGGCGTTTAAGTCTGAACAATTTCCGACTTAAAAACATTTTAAACTAAAAAATAAACAAGCAAAGTGGGGTGAGGGCTCGTAGAAAAAGGACATATTGTTGTTATTCACAATTTGTAGACAAATATAATGTTGTAAATTGTAAATGTTGATTATTATTTACAATCAAGGTAGGTTAGGTAGCTAGAGTAGTAAACTTGCTGAGGTTGATTAAAATTCTAACTTTATACAGTTTTGTGATGCTAACTTTTAACTAAACCGAAAGCCGTCGATTCAATTAATTCAAGATCGTTTAACAACTCAAAGGTCTGGCCTTTGTTTTAGATTAAACATAATGAAAATAAGGAATTTTGTTATAAATTAATGCAGAAAATGATTAGTCAATTCTAATTAATTATAGCACATCATTATATAATTTACGATATTCGAATTGTATTATTTCAATACCGTAAGAGTTATTTTAAATTTCAATATTTGTAACCATTAAAACAGTTTTTGTAAAACCACTGTAAAATTAAAAAAAAAAATACTATTCCGATGAATAATATATTTGTTTTATTTAGGAGTAGTGTGTAGAATAAAATAATCTAAACTCCGCTTCCTAAGTAACACATGTACATGATAAATCGCAAAAAAAAATTGAATCTGTTGTATAAATAAACAAATATAGTTACACTACAAAAGCCTATTAGAATTCTGTTTTTCTGGTCGAAGTATAAGCCCAACCATAAGTCGCAAGCAGTACATTTAGTTTTAAAAGCTGAACAAGTCGATTGTTGTCCAAGAACCTCTTACTAACTCCACAATTTAAGTAAGTATTTATATTAAAATCTAAAATGTTTAATTATATAGCGTTAAAAAACAGTAATAAGGATTTTTTATTTCAAGTTATTTTTTTATTCATTCTTAATCGTTGTTTTACACAATCCACATTTTGGAGAGAATTCTATAGTTCTTTTTGGTTTTTTCGTTCTTATAAAATTCTTGCTAGTACACTATAGTGTAGCCTAGGTCTAAATGGATGTTACTATAGATTAATACATATTAATTTATTTATTTAATATTGGTACACTATAGTAAGCCGGGGGTCTGATAAGGTTAAGTGGAGAAAAAGTCAATGTTCAAAAAAAAACTCCAATATTCCCTTTAAAAATTAAGTTAAAATTATGAGACAATTTTTTTTGCATGTTTTTAAGCTTTTAATTTTAACGGTTTTAAAACAAAACTTTAAAAACAATTTTTTACACATAAAATCTAAATCATTTTACTGAATATTCCTTTTAGCTTCGATGCAAAGCGAGAAGATATTGGTTTTACTCTGATGTGGGCTTTTTTTTTCGCTGTATACACTGTAACTTTTTTAATACTAGACCATGTCCTTCGAATAGCAACTCTATAAATCACAAATTTTGTCTAGTTTGTTGAAAAAGTTAAAGTCTTCACAGACGAAAGTTGAAAAAACAAAAAAAAAACCGTACGAGTTTTTAAGTTAGAACTTTTACTGGCTATAGTTTCGAGAAAAAGAGTCGGATCGAGTTGAAAGTATAAGAAATATTTATTTGGTATGCCCGCGCACGTCAGTTGTGTCAAATTTAAACTATACCCATTTTTCAGCCCCCTAGGGAGGGGTATAAGTTTTTTTGTTTTTCGGGGTTTTTAGGCGTAATTTTAAAACTTTTGGGTTGAAAATTTGCCAGTAGTTGGAACTCATATGTATCCATAACATATTAAACGGGTGCAAAATTCGGCACTACAGTTTTTTTTTAATTGCCGGGAAACTGTGTTTTCGCAGATTGCGTATATTTTAACAAAAACACCTAAAATCTTTAAAAAAAATTGATCAAATCATTAAAACAATTTTATATTTATCCATGTAGAATGATACTATTAGGTTTTGTGCTCAATTACCACTTTTGACATTAAGTTTACACAAATTCGATTTTTTTTTTTTTTATACTAAAAACCCGGTGTACCAGATGGGAGAAACGAACAGACACTAAAAACTATCAGTTGGTAACGTCTATCCGTGTTAGATTAGGTTAGGGCCCAATGATCGGTATCATAGTATTGTGTTTATTACATGATATCACAGGCGACTAAATCGTGTACTTATTGTGTATTTTTTATTACAAAAATTTTTTAAAGGAAAACTAATGTTTTGCATATTGTTATACTGTTATTCATTTAAAGAGATTCACAAAGAGATCATTCTAACCATGCTAATGTGACCAGGGAACTTAAAAAGATTTAAGTAAATATTTCACTTGTTTGAATAATGATACTAAATTTTTCTAACGGAATTATAAATCGCAATGTTCATTTTAAACGAACTCCAATGTACCAGACATTATAATAACAGCGTCAGCAAAATCTTTCCTTTTACCGTTGCGTTGGTATTAGATTACTCGAATATATATATATTTTTTCTTATGTACATATATTATATCCTATGTGACATATGAACAAAAAATAAGGATTTTTTTTTTTTTATAAATTAGCTATAAAATTGCAAAAAATGGGCTTTGCTTTACATAAACACATTATTAATTACGACTATATTTGCGGGTATGCTATAATTTATTTAATTTTTCCCTAGATTATTGTTATTTAACATTATAATTTTATTCTGTTGGTAAGTAGATTAAAGATATAGAAGTATCCACTTATGGATTATAAACGCTAGAGTAATTTGGAAAATATTATGTTCGAATAAAGCCTAAATGGATATAATATATTTTATTTAACAAATGTTGTTCAATTTATATAGAAACAGTTTTATTAAAGTATGACGCAAAGGCAATGTTATTTGTAAAGAACAGACCGTTCATATTTCTAAAAAACACCAGAGACGGGTAAAAAATATCTCTAATAAAAAACAACTTTGGTTAGCGTTGTACAAAATATTTAAAATGTTTCCGATATTTTTAGAACCCAATATTTGAAAATGTTTAATATATTATTATACAGAGCCTCAAGTCAGAATATCATTGATGAATAAGTTTCTTAAAAAGAAACCCGTTCAAATAAAACAAAATAAATTAGGCACAAAATGTACCTTGTGGGAGCTAATAATTTAAATAAATAAGCAACTAACACTGAATTTTGAGAATTTCGTTCGTATTTTATATTTTTTTATGTATACAGTTGATCGCATAAGATGCCTACATCGTATTTTGTTATTGGGTTTTTTTTGTTAAGCATATCTAGTGAATACATTGGGCCATTGTGTACAATGCGTGGTATTTTTTTGCGAGCTGAGTTTCGAACACAAAAACAACGACTAACTTAACAAAGAACCAAAATTAACAGAGAAGATTATTCGACCTAAATTTACGTTAAAGCAAAAAAAAAAATATGTTAAATTCAGTTTTCTTATACTTTTGATAGACATCAATCAGGCATAGCCCTTAATAGCTTTTTTAATTTTGACGAAATTCTCAGGGAGCTCTAAGAATTTTTAAATGGCCTGAAGATTTCTAGAACTCCCCCCTCCCATTTAAGGAGCTGATGGGTAGTGTTTAAGGAAAATATTTTAAACTTAAAAATTGAAAATTAAGTATGAGAAACGTTAACAATTATAATAATATCTAAAAGCGATAAAATAAAAAACAATTAGTAAAAAATGCAGTATGTTGGGAGTAGATAATATATTTTATTTTATTAATCACATAGTTTTCAAATTAATGTTAAATTAACGATATCTGATAAAATAACTTTTAACTAAACGCTTCTATGCGAATCTGTAGATAGTACATTTAAACCAGTTTAGTCCAATCCAATTCTAAAATTCAAATCTAAATCCTTAAAACTGCTATCCCTTCTTTGCTTTCAAAAGGGACGAATTTATGATATTTTTTTTGGTTTGTCAATGTTTATTGGTAGCTTTATGTAAAGAATATTCCACAGAATTTTGGAACTTTAAAGACTATTTTTAATAAGGTATAAGCATTGTAGATTTCTGTTAAAAAATATGTTATTGTTTTTGGTGTGTTTTTCGATTTTTGAAGATGAAGCGGTTTTTTTTTTAAATTGTTTTCTGTGTTTAAACATTTTTGTTTTATAAAATTGCTACACGAAGAAATAGGTTTAGTGGCTTGGGTGATATCATGAGTACAGAAAAAAAATAATATAAAAACACATAATATTAAGGTATTGTAAATACAATAAATTCTTAGCTCCGCATCGAATCTAAGCAAATTAACCATTTGTTTAAATAAACGAACATAGTTAAACCACAAAAGTCTATTAGAATTCTGTTTTTCTGGTCGAAGTATAAGCCCATCGATAATTCGCAAGTAGAACATAAAGTTTTAAGAGCTGACAAAGTCGATTCTTGACCTAGAACCTCTTGCCAACTCGACAATTTAAGTAAGTATTTCTATTAAACACTACAAATTGTAATTTCGATAAAACTAAAAAAAGACATGAGCCTAATGAGCCAAAAGTAATGGTGTTAAAATCAGTAATAAGGATTTTTTATTGCTAGTTATTTTTTTATCGATTCTTAATCGTTTAACACAATTCACATTTTGGAGAGAATTCTATAATAGATTTTGGTATTTTGTGATATTTAAATTGAATTGTTCTAAAAGATGTGTAGTGAAAATGGGCAGTTATTATTTATTTTACTCACTTGGAGGTCAAACAATTGGCTCTGCAATTCTGCGATATTCGCTTGTAGATCTAATACCATTTTTTTAAATTTTCGTTTTCATTTTGTATTCCATTTAAAATTGCTCGGTCAATAAAAATTTGAATTGGCGCCGTGTAAACATTGCCTGGCTAATAGAAGAATTCATTGCAAACCACGTACAAGCCGCCGCGCCGTTTGCGCGTGACCTAGTTAATTTATGTTAAAACACTTAACATTCTTGCGTTGTTAGCGATAATATACTTCAATATTTAATTTTCAAGTTGTGTTTTAAAAGTTGCAAGTCCACAAAATATGTTTACAAATTAATTAATCAAGTGTGATATATTTTAAGATAATACATTTGGTGAACTTTCAAATGAAAAACACAATTTACTAAATGAATTGTTAAAAAAACACAATTAAGTTCACCAATTTAGGCAAACTTTATTTTATAATCATATTTTGGTGCAATTTACTTTTTATTATAATTATAATTGTAGGAAAACTATTAGTTGTTCTCTGGATCTAGTTTTATAATAATTGTATAGAAAAAAATTATATTTTAAGACTTATAGAAAAAAATACATTTATAATTTCTGTTATTAACGATAATCTTATAGCTTTTCCTTCAGTCTATTTATTAAAAATATGGACCAGTTCTCTGTTTTTTTACTGGGTTTTTATAATACATCTATTAAATATTAAAATATTAATAATATATATTTGTATATAGAACAATTTTAACCAGTAGAACGTTTTTTTTTTTTTAAAACTTGTACAGAAATCTTTAACCAGAAACCTAAACCCGGGTTTCCAATTAATAATGTGTTAGATTTTATTTTATTCATTGAACTTTCGTTTTATGAAATGCGCTAGTAAATTTTTTACCTTAAATTCAAATCAATATGGAACAACATATGAGTAGCAATAATAGAACATATAAAAAATCGTAATAACAGTCAATGCACCCAGATTTTTTGTAAAAAACACTTCTCTAAATTAATATAGAATTTAGCACACAATAAAGCGTCGCAAAAAAAATTGAAATCGATATACTTTTAGATTTAAAATATTATGTATGATTAATTTTCGTACCCTGAATTATTCTTATTTAAATCATATCTAATCCAATCCAATACCCTAGTGGTTGACCAGCCAGAATACTTTTTCCCACAACCGAATTTATACATATATATATATATAAATATATAAAGTATAATAATAATAAAGTCTAATAATAATAATTTAATCCTAAAAAAAATTGATCAAATCATTAAAACAATTTTATGTATATCTATGCAGAATAATGCTATTAGGTTTTGTGCTCAAGTACCACTTTTGACTTAAAGTTTACACAAATTCAATTTTTTTTTTTTTAACTAAAAACCTGGTGTACCAGATGGGAGAAACGAACAGACACTAAAAACTATCAGTTGGTAACGTCTATCCGTGTTAGATTAGGTTAGGGCCCAATGATCGGTATCATAATATTATGTTTATTACATGATATCACAGGCGACTAAATCGTGTATTTATTGTGTATTTTTTATTACAAAAATGTTTTAAAGGAAAACTAATGTTTTGCATATTGTTATACTGTTATTCATTTAAAGAGATTCACGCTTGATTGTTTGAATTGTCTAATATTAGATAATCTGCTTCGTGCTAATTTTAAATTTTAGTTTATCAACTGGTAGCTCTAATTTTGTATAAAATATTTCATTATTTTATTACTATGTACTATTACTATTAAGATAAATTTTAATAATAATTAAGTCATAAATTATAATACTTTATTTTATGACTAGATCAAATCTCGTGAACATTTAATATCATGATACTGCTCCTATGCTATTATAAAAAAAACACAATTTTTAAAATCTCCATAAAAGGTTATTGTTAAATAACAGGCAACAGCCGACCGCTAGTGACTATACACGTTAGTAATATTTAACTAATAAGTAATATATGTAGGTAAAATTTATTGTTTTATCCATCACAGTACCAGTATACGATTTATTTTAATTTAAATGTAAGAAAATCGATTTTTCTTTAGAAAATAACAAGAAATTAATATATAGGATGAGGCAGTAAAACGGCGATTTTCTAATGTATTTAAATGGTAAAACCCGTTTCACTATCCCACACTTACATTTTAAGGATCTATGAAAAGGTTTTTTTAGTTGCATTTTATTTTGTACATTGTCAATCTAGTAAAATAGAGGTATAATATAGCTTTGAAATAATATAATCTATGAAGTATAAATAGTTTGTGTGAGATTGCTCTAATGGAAGTATATAATATATATTGTATATAGTATATAAGTATATAGTATAAACATTAATTTTATTGAGAATAAGCGATTATAATTTAAACTATGGAGTACAAACAATTGAAACATGAATCGTCGACCATTCCAACAAAATAAAACATGACATTGTACATGTGTTATTTGGTCCACTATGTTTTTGCAAAAAAAAAAAAACCAGTACAGTGGAGTCGGGGCATAGTGGGAACGGAGCATAGTTGGGTCGGGGCATATTGGGGACGGGGAGGTCACAGGTTTACAAGAAATTTTAAATCTGAAAGTGATAAAATCACTTTCGAAAAAACGCTTCGATGCAAATCGGTAGTTAGTATTTTCAAGCCAGTACAGTCCAAACCAAGCACAGTATAAACCAGCAAAGTTAGAAAGTTTGAAATGAAGGTTCTGTATTTACAAATGAGCATCAAAGCGTTTATTTGATAGCGATTTTATTCAATTTTATCACTTTTATTTATAATAATTCTTGTAGACCTGTGACCTCTCCGTTCCCTCATTGCTTTGATTAACATTATGCCAATACTTTACTGTACTAAACCTCTCGGATAAAATCACTTTCAAATTAACGCTTTGATCCTCATTTGTAAATACAGAACCTTCATTTCAAACTTTCTAACTTTGCTGGTTTATACTGTGTTCGGTTTGGACTGTACTGACTTGAAAATACTAACTACCGATTTGCATCGAAGCGTTTTTTCGAAAGTGATTTTATCACTTTCAGATTTAAAAATTCCAATAAACCTGTGACCTCCCCGTCCCCAATATGCCCCGACCCAACTATGTTCCGTCCCCACTATGCACCGACCCCACTATACTGGTTTTTTTTAAATTGGAATGTATGTTTTTAATTTCAAAAATCTGTAAAAAAACAAAATTTTTAAAAAACTTTTAGCGTTTTAATTTGTAATTTGCAATTATCTGTTTGTTTGCTGAGACTTTGAAAAGGTTTGGATTTAAAATCAATATTAGTAGCACTTCTATTTGCCATTAAATAATAATGTTGATCCCTATCGATAATACTGTTACTGATAATCAGGCATTTATAACATTCACTCAAATTTTCTTTTTATTATATGAACAATTGAGTCTTAATCTACTTGCTTGGAAACAATGGTAAAAGACACCTTACACAATTATCATTCGTTCACATACCTTATCAATAGACTGTACGTTAACTAAACCACTTTTTTTGATATAAATTATGATTATAGTACAACGATAATATTATCACTAAGTTTTTCAATGGGCTATTCCGTCATTTTGTTCATTGCTGTGAACAAAAAATTTAGGCAGAACTGAGTTCTGATGATTCACCTCCTTCACGTGACTCAAGGGGGTTGAAAAAGACCAAATAGTTTAATTTTATAACTTTTTTGAGTTTAAGTAAAAAACTGTTGCATTTTGCGTAAAATTTTTCATTATCTCTATGATAGGTCAAAGGTTAAATAAGATTTAATTTTTGAACACAATTCCGAACTTATCTCGTTGGAATACGCGCCTTTTTGTCAAAATACTATTTACTCATCATGGACTGAACGACTGCTATCACGAAAACTCAGTTTAAAATCACAATACAAATTTTATATAAATGAAGATGATTTATTTTATACTGTTCACAGAACGATTTCTATATTTTGTTTCTAGCAATGAGTTTCGTTTTTCATACATGTTATCATATTAAAACTGCCTTGAAAATCCTTAACATTCTCATCTCTGACCCGGAGGAAATTGTGACTGTCATAAAATGTTTTTTCGTTTATTTTTATTCGCAGATCAAAATGAAACTCTTCTGTTCATTAATACCTATTTTTTTCGTGGGTGTTTTGGCATATGGTAATTACTTTATTTTCACAGTTATCAGTTTAAAGTAGATTAAATTTGAAAATATTTTAATATTTCAATTTTTACAGAAAGAAGATATATACAATATATTTTCACTACAAGTCAGTTACATTTTTATTTTACAAACAAATCTTTTTTGAAGTTTTCAAAATCCACTGATTTTATACATCATTTTTTGATTATGTATCACAGCTGAAGCCATGGCAATTGCAAATGATTTAACTGTAGAAGGTACAAATGGTACAGAAACAAGTAAGATATATTTAAAATAATATACTAATATATATGTAGAAGTTGTGTTACAAGTACCTGAATGTTAAGTTATTAAAAAATTTAAAATTATAGTTTTATCAATAGTTAAGAAAAGTGCATTATATATTTAGAACAGTGTATAGAGCAATAAAATATAATATATAAATTAGCGATTTCTAATAATCTAATCGAGGGAGAAATTAAATGGCTACTGCTCAAAGCCGGGTTTAATATTATTCTAAACATTTTTATGGTACCTTATATGACTTAATTTTAATATTTTAGTATAGCTATAATCTTCATTTGTTTATTGTAGATGCATTGGAGCATGTAATTGAGACATTGGTTGATAATGTAGAAGAAATCGAATACAGGCATTTTGGTAATCATAATTATAATAATAATAAAAAATATCAAGATAAGAGTGGAAAAAAATATTTGAAAATAGTATAAAAATGCATCTCAAGTTTATCGTTATGCAATTGATGTGTTATAATTCTTATATTTTTCACTAAGCTTATTGAAAAAAATACTATAAAAAAATATGATAGCTTTTTCAACCTCGTCTGATTAAAATGTTTTATTCTCATTGTCTATACTAAATCAACTCAGTTATTGCATTTCACAAGGATTCTCTAGTATAAATTATAGTTTTTTCTATTTTGACCATCGTCTTCTAATGTATAATTATATAATGTAATTACTTATTATAACAAATGCAAATCAATATCATTAATAAATTTGTGTAATTTCAGGCAAACTTAATTTTTTGATAGCTGTACCGGGTAATAGTCATTGTTGAATCTTATGAAATATTTCCAATATTTCGTTCCTATTGAATTCTCCAAAGAAATTCTCATCGTATTAAGTATTTAATATTCTTAAATATATTCCATATATTTCCGCATATTTCTTCTGAGTTCTTAGTACACATGTTTTTCCTAACTTGACATTCGTCTTCCTGTTTACAGTTGAGTAAAAAAATAAATTCAATCTCATTAATTCATGTTATTAATTTCAGACCATCCGGAAATTATGCCCACAATACCACGTAATAATTTTCATTGTTTTTTATAGAAGCGCTTCCACACAGTTGTTTGATATTATTTATACAAATATGATTTTGGTTTCACTTTCAGACCTTCTATTTATTCCAACATTGCAAAGTAAAAACCCCATTTTATATTTCATATTTATCATACTTATTGCATATTTATTATTTATAAATACTTCATATGATTGATAAATAATCATAGGTACCTATTGACCAATAACAATATGACATATCGGTTTCAGTCATAAATAATATGTAGGTACATTAAAATGTATTTTGTTTTTCATTTTAGAAGCCAATTTTTTCTTCCAAATTATGCTAAATGACATAGAAAGGCTATTAGGTAAATCTAAAATTAAAAAAAAAATAGTTACATATTTTTGTAGTTTTTAAGAAAAAGTCGATTTATGACTTAAAGTCTTAAGTTCAAGATTCTAAGAATCATTTGAAATATAATTTAAACTGTTTAATTAAATATCGCTATAAGACATTTGTTCAATAATATTTTACAATAGTCTAATTAACCTCAGGTATAGAGTTTATGTCATATTAAAAGTGTTTTATTAACTGCATAATAATTTCATGTTTGATGAATTTGTTACAGAATTAAAACCAATTAAAGGATTTTATAGAGGTAATTACGATTTTTTTATAGTCCTAAATGGTTTTAAAATCGTGTTTTAGAGTTGATATTTTTTTAATTTTCTTTGTTTAATTTTTTAAAAATAATTATGTAATATTGTAAAAAATGTTATAGTTTTATTATTTCTTTGCAACACTATCATTTAATAATTATTTTCGTAGAATCTATATCATTGAAACAACTTGGAGACGATAGAAGACAACATGTTGTTCCAGCTTTAAAAAACGTAATCAGACGTCGTGTATTAGGTAAATATTATTACGAAGTTGTATGGTTTTTGAAAGCTATTAATATATATTTAAGGACACATCTGTTTTAATTATAAGCAATTATCCAAATAAATTATATCTACTTACACGTACTTTCAAGTAGTACAAATATCATGGCTGTACAGTACGGACACCATTTTTATTGTATTATTTTTTTTATGAATTCGTATTTACAAATAAAATAGTTGTGTCCTGCACTGTAAAGAAATGTAATAACTAGTAAGCTAATATAAGCAAATTAAAAAAAAAAGTTTTCAAATTTTTAAGAATCTGGGCAGCATGTAGATGATGAAGCCTCTTTATTACCGAAGTGTCGTTTGCTAGGATTATACTTGAGTACACAATTTCCAGAATCGTTCATAAAACAAGTTGACATTGATCCAATTGACCTAATATGTATCTTAACGGATACAAATGATACCAAAAGATATTACAGAAAAATTGGTAACGCATGGTCCGAAATAAGATTATCTAACAAAAACGAATCACTACAATTCCTCGAGGAACAGTTACGACTTGGACGTCCACAAGTTCCATTTTCATTACATGATATATTATAATTTATCTTATTATTATCCCTATATTTATTATAAAATCTAAAGCTGTAAAATGGTATACATAAACTTAAGCTAACGGAAATATTATACGTCTTTTTCTGTTTCATGTCATGTCTACCAATAAAATAAATATTACTGAATACCTATGTAAAGTTATATTTTTTTATCTGATCTACTGCATCTTTTTATTTCTGCTTCCAAATACTTTCCTTATATTTCTACCTTTACTAAATGAATGTGCAAATTTTGGATGACATGTTAAAGGTAACATAAACTAAATGGAGTTATAATGTCGAGTGACTAAATAAAACAGTGTAGAATATTATATATATATATATATATTACCAGTTGTGGAAAAAAATACCCTGGCTGGTCAAACACAGTGGTATTAGATTGGCTTGATTATGATTTTAATAAGAACAATGCAGGGTACGAAAATTAATCCTACATAATATTTTAAATCGAAAATAATTTCTATTTCTAATTCTTTTTGCAACGCATTACTGTGTGCCAAATTCCAATGTTTTTAAAATCGCTTATGTGGATGTGTATTGATTTAGAAGTGTTTTTTTGTGGGATACCTCTCATGTTTTTTTATTCTCATTGGTACGAAACTAAAAAAGTACGACACTAAAAATATTGAAAATTGCTTGTGTTTTAGCACACTGTAAACTCAAGGTCTTTTATGTGTAACGCATTGAACAGTACAAAAAAAATCTGGGTACACAGGCAGTTATTATGAAGTTTTATAATTACACCCATTTAGTGGTCTTGTAAATAGTGTTGAGACTTATCTTTATTAAAATATTGTAATTATCTTACATCTATTTGGTTATTTAGATAACTTTTCAGTTATTATCTTGTTCCTACACTGTTTGTTATTTCTAATTATTTCTAATGGCATATTACATTTTTTTATTAAGTTTTTCATGTTATAAGATAATTTGGATACATTTTGTATATAATTTTGAACTCGAGATTTGAAAACTAACTAAGACTAAACTTACTTTATTTTTCAATTAACAAATCTAAAATTGTATTGTTTCAGGTTATAAGAATTCGAACACAATTTGTGGACTTTTTACTTCTAAAACTCGACTTTCAATAATAGAATGGAGTTTGACGCATCCTTTGCAAAGATATTACAATTTACATTTCCCCTTATAATAATTATCATACCATGTTGTTGGTTTTTAGAATTCCAGCTGCTTACTGAAATTCTGATAATACTCTAAATTCATAACCACGTTCGCGTTGTCCGATGAGTGAGAACGCCAAAAACCTGACACAAATTCGTTTCGTTTGTTTGTTCGTACATGAAAGGTAAAATTTAAAAAGTTGCCTCCTGCCTCTTCAAAATGTTGACAAATCAAACAAATATTACTTTACCTTTTTCCTAAAGGAAAAGAAGCTTTTTCTTTATTTCTCTATTTTAGGTGTAGTTTCAGGGCTTAGGGTCTTAAAATTAGACTTGAGGTAGATATCTAGAGTGGATCTATAACATAATGCACTACTTTCTCAAAAGTCTGTAATCAAACTTTATTTTATTAAGGACAAACCTAAAAATTCAACTGGTATGTAAAAAAAAAATGATGACTTTTTGTGAATACGGTTAGCAAAAAAAACGCTGCTAGATACAAGCCAGACAACATTTGTTACCACCGAAAACATCTGAGTACACATGGGTATTTTGTGCGATTTTCAAACTTCGGTGTGCCTAAGCAAAACTTCAAATTATATTTGTTTTTAAATATTCATACCGAATTTCAGTAATAGTTTTGAAAATTTTATAGAGAACTAGCTGCGGGCGAGTAAAAGCAAACTGCAAAGTATTTTCAGGGTGGTCACAGATTTCAAAGGGGGGTGCCCGGCTACGTTGTCGGGTCTAGGCATAGCTTCTTAGAGTATTATCGTAATAATACATGGTATCAATAACTAGCGATAAAAGTTCATAATACCTAGTTTAGAAAAAAATGTTTAGGAAATCTCTACATGATTTCAGCTACTATATCGGTGACGATAAACTGGTACGTGTTGGTTCTATACATGATCTTGGGATAACCTTTTCATCAGACCTGTCTTTTAGCACCAACAAAGTATATGGTAATTCTTTAAGAACCCTGGGATGTATTAAAAGAACTTGTGGAGAGTTCTCTGATATTAGATGGCTAGTGACGCTACATACCACTCTTGTTAGGTCTATACTGGAATATGGTTGTATTATATGGATTCCTATACATATTGGCCAAATTAAAAAAAATTAGAGCGAGTACACAAACGATTCTCTAGAACGGTAGCCTATAAGTTAGGAATGACAGGTCAGTCTTCCGAGGTAGTCCTGAAGCTTTGCGGCTTAGTAACCTTGCAGCAACGACGTCTGTATTTTGACGTGACATTTATCACGAAACTAATGAAAGGCAACATTGATTGCCCTGAGTTCCTAGAAAAAAATTAATTTAAATTTCCTGTTTTCAATACGAGAAATAATCAAACGTTTGTCCTTCATTTTCCAATCAAAACTATGTATTATCTAGTTTGGAGTGCCACATCATAAATAATTGTAATTTGTATAGTGGTTTTGATTTTTGCTTCGATTCGCTTTTTAAGCTAAGATATTATTTTTTTAATTCTTAATTTAGTTTATAATTTGTACATATATACAACGACAACGCCGGGTTGGGACATCTTGTTGATATAATAAACTTCAAAGTTCAATAAAATTCTATTTTACACAAAAAAAATCATGCAAATCTTAATGTATGTCTAAACTATATGCATATCTATGTTATACAGATTGCTATAAGAAATTCCAAAATCACCCCTTCCTAAAATACTCTTACCGAAGGTGGAAAAATTACAATGACGTTGATATAAAAAAATAAAAAATGATTCACAAAATCGTCAATAAGTCGGGTTGGCTATGAATTTCTAAAGACCTCGAATTTGTTGTCGTCTTTAGAACGTGTACAAAATGATTCGTATATTTTCATTTATGTAAACAGTGGAAATGGAAACGCGTATCGAATCACCCAAGCGTTTTCCTGAAGTAAAAAAAATTGTGTTTTCGAGTTAACGCTTAGGCGAGAATTCAATAAATAATACTTCCATAGAAAATCATATTTTAAAATCTTGAAGGGATTGAAGTGGTCTGTTTGTTGTACAATTTAGGCCTAAAAACATGACGTAATTATGCCAACTCAGGATTGTTAGATTTCAATTCTATATATATATTTGAGTTTATCAGCTACTTTTCTATGTAAAAATCGACAAATGATATTTTATTTAAAATTTTGTTTAAATCCAATTTTATTTGCTCAATTTTATCTTATTGAAGTAAATGAAACAATTATTAAAAAATCTATTAATTCCATTAAAAATAATTACATTTAGGTATTGAATCGTTCAATCATTATATTACCAATTTTAACAATATATTCCGTGACAAAAAAATAAAAATAATAATAATAATTTAATTTTTGTATATTATAAATTAAATTGCAATGCTTTAAATATTATAATAAATAGACAAATTGAAAATATTTTATAAATTATACTTAATTTAAAAAAATCAAACATTTCAATCTTTCAAACATTTATTTTTAGAAATATTTAACTTTTTTGCGTGTATCTGGAACAATAAGAACTTCGCAACGTGTATTTCATTATCTAAAAAGCAAAAGTAACAAATGTTTAAGTGAGGCCCAACAATCATAATTAACTTGTTAATGTACAAACTTGTGAAATTACAATTAAAATGTAATGTGGGAATTTGTGGATTTTTAGCGATAAATTCTCTCACAAACTTGCTTGCTTCGTTACCAAATAGTACACCGTCTCGGTTCCTGTCACGTTCTGTGAATTCATATAACAATGATCTGATCTCTTTTGTACTTAACACTATCTCATCCTGAAAATTGCCAAAGAAAGATTAAATACAGCGTAATGAATTAATAAATTATAGGAGAGTAATGCATGACAGCAAAGGAATTTTTAATTGATAAAAAGTTAGTTATATATTACTTTTTTGTTATCTGTCCTAAAACGTTCTGCCGTAATGATAACCAACTCCATTAACACTTTAGCAAAGGGTCCTGTTTAAGTTTTAATTATATATTATATACACAATTAGAATGTACCTGTTTAATGTGAATATATTTATATTTTTGTCTTACGGTTAGATTTAAATAGCATTGACTCTTCAAGCGGCTCAATAGCCATATGAATCGTGTTCAAGATGTTTTGAATTTTCAAAGGTTCGATGCAACGGGTAACAGTATCTTGATAACTATACAATTGAATGAACTCCTTAATTTGTGCTTCGTTTAGACCATTGCCCTATAATTTAAGCTAGCCATACACAAATGTCAACTCATTTAAAATTTTAAGTATTTGATTAGCTATTAACGATTTATTAAATACTATTTTATAATGATTCTATAAATGTTGCTTTTGAAACAACATTTTTGCATTCATTTTATTATCCAGAAAAATGTTTTTGGCCAATTTTCAAAAATTACATATAATACAATCTTTTTGAAAATCCTTATTCTAAAAGATCTATTCGGGTATTCCAATTCATGTATGGTCTCTATTTAATGTCTCAAGAGATACTATTTTTTCCTTGCGCAGTTATTTACTTACTTCTGGTAGAATTTCTAACATGATTGACAAGAGTATCGCTGATTGGATTTTATCTAAAATAAAAAAATGAAGACTGTAAACTTGAAGTAGACCACTTACTCGACCTAAATTTAGTATAACCTCCTTCTCTGTTAGCTAAACTTTCGGCCTTTGCCTTTTCATCTTCTGTTAGGTGTAACTTTCCAAATAAGTCTAGTAGTTGTTCTTTACTAAGAAATGAATATTGCCCATTAAGTTGGAGGTGTTCATGAAACTTATTGATGTAATACTCTATTTCAAAAGTCGTCAACATTGGAACCTAAGTACAATTTTATACATACACGAATATTTTGCAATTATTTTTTTACAATATTTTGATATTTATTAATAGTTGATACGTTTTAGGTTAATTTAGTATTATAAAACTTTTTATTTTAAATAAAATACCCCGAAGCTGTCAGATGTTTTATTATCTGAATACGCTAACGCCAAAAATGCTCTCTTAAAAGTGTGACAATAGTAGTCCCCTATAAAAAATAAATAGTATGCAATTAGTTATTAATAACAAATACAATAGGTGTCAACAAAGCTTGACAAGTTTGAGATTTATATATACATTAAATTCAATGATTTATGCTTAACAAATGTAATTATTAAGACCCATTAAGTAGGTACTCAATCGAGTACTATGTATGGTAAATTTCTAACTTAACTAAATATTTTTTTAAAAAGTAACCCTATCTTTTCCACTTTCTTTCATCATTAATTTTCAACCAAATTAATGGTTTAAAAAATATTTTAAAAAAAGTACACTACAATTCATTATAATGTTAGTAATAAGAACTTAATCGGTTAAGTATGTTGTTAAAACTAATACAAATTATAAATAATATCTATTAGTTTAATAGTATATAATTAGTCAAGCCTAAACCTATTAAAGCAATAACGCAACATTAATTATCTATAGATTAAATTAATGAAACAGGTATTTAAATAATATGTTACTTGGGTCGTGTTGAAAAATTTCTTCAGGTTTTTCAATTCCAAAACCGGATTTCATCAGGTCTTTAATAATCCTAATATAGTGTAATATACCAGGATTACTAGGGTCACTCATACGAATACATATTTCTATTTGGTCCTTATTTAGTCCAGTGCTCTGAAATAAAGTGTAATGACTTAGAGCTTAACACGTAATATTGGGTGTTGCTGTAAGACTTTTACATAAGAATTTTCTGCGAAATTTGTTAAATTTTTCTTGTTATATTTTTTGAAAAAAAATGTATCATACACAATCATCATCATGTAGCTTAACGGGAATTCGCTATCCGTAACGGGCCGTCAATCCGTCGCCGGAGAGGGGCATGGCGGTTTCTTTTCACCGGATTGTTGCTCGCCCGGCAAACTGAGCTCCCGTCATTGTTTAAAATTGGTTATTGACCAGTCAAGATTTTTTGCAAATATTTGTTAAATTAAAATGTCAATCACACAGATACCGTTACCTTTTGAAAACTTAAGGTCATGAGGGTTTAACGCTTATGTGACAGAGATATATTATAAAAGTTAGCTTGTATAAGTATAAATATATCTACAATTATTTTAGAGAAATAAGTATCTTACCCAAACTGATGAAATGAAATTCACGGCACAAAGAATAACAGCACTCTTAAAATGCATAATAGTTTTTTAAGTTTAAATTCAACGAAGTACGTGTAGAATAGAACGACTGTTGTGGTTGAAGTAAAAATAACGAATTAACAGTAAAATAAGTACATTTGTCGTGTCTTATATGGTTTTATTGACTTACAATAAACACTGTGAGTGACAGAATTTAATAAACCTTTGTCGTTTGATTGTACACACAATGTCTTATATGGTTTTATTTGTGAGTAACAGACTTTGTGACTTAGTGAGTAACAGAATTCATAACCTATTTGTTGCACACACAATGTGCATTCGCTGCTAGGTACACATAAGAATTTGCAAGATATTTACAATGATAATGTATTGGGTTTTATTTTGTACTTTGAATTGTCGTTGTATGAAATGCGCTGGTGTAATACGTAAGAAGGGAAAGTGTATAAACCACACACGGTTAGTAATATTTGTTTTGCGTCTATTTACCTTAAATTCATATAACAGTTGTTCAAAAAATAAAAACGCGTGCCCCGAACCCACTGTGCTGGCTTTTTACACTCAATATTAGTGCACATAGAAAAATACAAACCAAACGACTCCTAGCTGACTTTGCCCCCGAAGTTGTTTATGCCTTTGTCGAAGAAAAATACTTAAATAAATAAAAAAAATATATATATATACATATATTTACGTTTATTTTTTAACTTAAATCTTTACCGTGCTAATTTAATCAAGTAATATTCAGTTGCGTCACTTCATGCATTTAGAATTGCACTCCCTAAATCGGCGTTAATTTTGAGATAATTGCAACGTTCAGATTTTTCCCTTAAGTTACAATTAAAGACCTGCCTTGGTGCCAAATTTCACGTTTCTACCTGTACGGGAAGTTTTTGTGGTCAGTAACAAAAATGAAAACTTTCCCCTTTTTAAAAGGCTTAATATTAAGAGCTCCATTTTTTACAGAATCCTAAGCTACTCGAGCTTAATTTGTGTTTCAAATTTCAAAATCTTATCTTAAGAGGAAACAGAGATATGTGGGTTAGAAAAACTGGATGAATTGTAACGGGATTGCTGGAACTTGGCCTGGCTCATTGCCGCGCGGTCAGATCATGTCTTGAAACAAGACTGCCACACTCAAAAAATAAAGTTTTGAGGAAATACAACTTAAAGATTGAACCTGCTGTCAAATGGTTAGCTTTATTTTGTAGTTATATCATAACATTTGTATAATCCATCTTATAATCCAAACATTTATATTATCGTATAAAATATATTCCATGAGAGATGGAATGTATTCTGGAAGTCTTAAAATATATTTTTTTTCTATACATTTATAAAACTAAATGTCCTACAATTTGAATTTCTTAAGTAAAAAACTAATGGACCCAAAATATCATAATAATCAAAATCGTTTTAACGTTGGAGACTTCAAATAATATAACTAGGTCGATTCAAAAGAGTATTTTTTTTTTTCGAATAGTTTCTTATTTAGTACATTGGTGTATGGCTGTAACTGTTTGAACAAGCATAAAAAACAACACATCAAAATACGTTTTCTTCTAATTTCAATAAATAACACATTTTAAAACGTGGTTTCATTTCGTTTCCGTTTAAGAAAAAGGATATACACTTATTTAGAAAAGTAACGATAAAGCTATGTAAGATTTTCAAAAGGTTTTAAAATATAAATAAAATAATAATAATAATAACTAATGTTTTCATAATAATTTAAAGTTTTTTTATTATTATATAAATAATAATTTTGTATATTATATACGTAATTAAAATAAATGTATTTTAAATTTTCTCATTTATTTTAATTCTGCTTAAAGGTACACAACACATTTGTGTCTATATCGAACATGTTTAACATAATAAAACTTCAAGGTCTTATACAAACGAACGCATTTGTATGGTTTTAGAAGTACCTTTTAAAATTATGTCTTCTAAAAATGTTCCTGTAAGCTTGGGTCTAAATCTGAACATAGGCTAATCAAACCACGAAAAACACCTTAATTTGTTGATGAAATTGTTTCATAGTGTCCACGCGAAAGTAATTCGTGATTTCCACAAAATTTGTATGGATTTGTATGGAAAATATCGCCTTTGATGATTGATCTAATCTATGTTTTAGGCTTTCGAGTTTTCAAACAGGGTTTTGAACGCAATTATTTCACAGTTATAGTCTTCAAAACTGATTATGAGTCGTTTGAACAATTTACCTACACGACGTTAACCGCTTTAAAATGTGTTCAATAAACAGCTTAACTAAGTTTCATACCTACGCTAGGAAATGTGTCAATATTTTTGTAGTCTTCAGTATAAAAGCACTCGATATTATGTACATACATATAAATATGGTAAAAAGGCGTTTGAATTCTTTCCCGAATTCTACCAAGTATAATATAACTCCAGTCATTGCATCAGTCCCATAGAGCCGACATAATAATTATTATAAAATATACACCAGCCTCAAAAACAAACATTTTGGCCCACTATAAAAGCTCCCCAATCAAGAGCGGTAGTGTACATAATTATTTTTTTTTTGGCCATTTATTGAAAATAATATCAGTAAACAAAAAGTAGTTTAATTGAAGAATGCTCAATGTTGTTAATAATTATAAAAATATAACTACTCAAACATGACAAAGGCCGTTATTATTTTAATAGGATATACTAATTACTTTTTAGCAGCTACATTATAATTTTTTTATGGGGCTAAAAGAAAAAAATGTGTCAAATAGGTACTGTTTCATTTTTTAAATAACATATTATTATGTTTGTAACATTTGGTTTTTTTTTACGATGCGCCTTGAGCTATAATTTTTTTGTTTTTGGTTTTTATAATCAAACCCGTAAATTTTTTAACCTGGTATTTTTGAAAAATTGTTCTTAATTGGCAATATAAAATATAAACAGATAATTTTATCGACGCGTAGGGTTCATTGAAAATCTATTCATTTGCTGTTAAAACCAAGTTGTTTTTGTGTTTTCTGCTGTTATTGTCGTTGTAACCTATTCTTATTTGCACTAATGTTTCATATATAGGTAAAAAATATTTCACTGAATAACAACTTTATGTTAAAACTTTTAGTTGTTGTTTTCAAGTTTCCACGATATTTTTTGTCCCTGAAAAATTAGAATACATATAAAACCAATTTTACAAGTAATAGATTTACATTAAACACAATACCTTGGTCACCTCTACTTAAAGTCGGTAAAATTTATTTTTTTTCGAAAAACGTTTAATATTCGAACAAATACATGTAGGTATATATTTTAATCGAAATTGCTTGTCTTAATATCATAACGAATCGACAACAGCACAACAACAGTATGTGCTTAAGTATTTTTTGCCCGTACAAAAAAATTTAAACGCTTGAATAACACCTAAGAAAACAATTCTCCCTTCACACGCATCTCTGTAAGTGAAATTTAAGTTTCATAAAAACTTATAGTCGTAGTATCTTTAAATAAAACAAATAAATATATTTTAACCGCATTGCTTACATACAACATTTTTTTTAAGTAATTAGGGTGGATGCAATTAGGGCTGGTCGTATGTCTGTAAAAAATTGTAGTTTTTTCCCCATAAATCGAAGTAATTGTTAATTATTAGCAATAAATCAAAATAATTTTGTAGATACCTGTTGACTTTTTTAGGTTTTTCCTTAAAAAAAAAAGAGGTTGACTACAGACTATTGAGAGAGTCGAATATTATGTTACAGCTCCACTCAAGATACCTACCTCCAATCTAATTTTCAGACCTTAAGCCCTGAAAGTACCCCTAAATAAGTAAAATAAAAGAAAAGGTCTCCTTTCCTTTTAGAGAAAGGGTTAAAATAGTTTGTATGGGTTGTCCCATTCTAGGTCTACCTATGGTCTAAATTTATCGACCTAAATGCCTAAAACTCCGTTTGAAAAAATAAAATAATGAAAACATTTCTAACCCTTCTAGGAGAAAAAGTTTAAGATAATTATTTATTATATCTTTATTTATATTGGTTTATTAATGTTTATCGGTATTACTATGGTTAAAAAATATTCGGTACACTTTTGGAATTTATTCGACTAATTTTAAATCAACGGTACAGCATCGTAATTTTAAATTGAAAAATATGTAAACTTTTAACAAATTTTCTCGATTTTGAAGAGGAAGAGTTTAATTTTTGTAATTTTCAGCCCAATACAGTACCTTTCACGTATGATTTCTGTTTTAAAGAGTTACTACACGAAGAAATCCGGCCCATAGGAAAAAAAGTTATCGTGTCTACAGAAACAAATAAAAAAAATTTCATTATTAAACCGAAAACTAAAAATAGTAATAATTATTGCTTTAAGGGGGAGAACCGACAATCGAACCGGAAATTTTCTTAGGGCAAATGTTGGCAACCCATCCGGTATTGCGGTTAGAGAGAACCAAGCAATCCTCTTCTAGTCTAAACGGAACAACGCTGTAGGACTTCTAGTCCTTAGAACAAAACATAACCCCGGCTTTTAAGACAGTTAAAATAGGGATATAAAATCGACTGAAGACTATGCTGCTACGACAAGCTGGAATAAGAAATAATTACCCAGAAGATCTTTTTAGCGGCGTCTTACAATTTTAACAATGAAACCGTATAGCACTAGTTACTAATGCATGCCAATAGATATCTGATATATTATTACACATTTTATATACAAAATTAAAACCCAGAGATTCGAACCATTTCCAGTTTCTGACATATTTTCTTGAAAATTTAAAAAAATAAATTTACACACCTCACTAAAGACATCGGTATGTTAGAATGGATTTTACAACAAGTAAACTTTGTGTAACTAATTTACATATTTTTGCAAATATGCAATTTTGTGCCAATAATACCACAACTAAAAAGTTTAAAGATGTCATATTTTATATACATATGAACTCCTAAAATTTAGTTTTTTTCGCTACTACATAATACAGGCATTCAAAAACGGTAAAATTATTTAGTTTTGTCTCAAAGTTTAACTTTGGATAATACAATATACACTTACACAAATGTTTTTAAAGTTCTCTATTTAATTTCTATTTTGCAT